TGGGCTCCACGGGCGATTTTTGAGTGCAATTTCGGATTTTCTTGAAAAATTTGTATTTTCATATGGAATTAATTTCTGTAATTTGTATTGACTGAATCGAATTAATTTGGATAGATTTGAGCTGTTCGGAGGTCAATTCAAGCAAGAAGGCTATTTTGGAATATCGGCATAACTTCAAAAAAAAAGGTAAGTATCTTTCCTAACCTTGAGTGGGGGAATTACCCCTTAGGCATTGAGTCTTATATGAAAATTGTGTGATTGGAAGCCGTGTACGCGAGGTGACGAGTACGTACTCGGGCTTATATGTACAAATTTTATTGATTTAAAGTTTTAGGCATTTTTATGTATTAAATTGGATAATTGTTGGCATTTAGTAAATCCTTGAATTGTCACGCCTCATTCCTTATTTATCGAGTTTATATTTCATATGATAATTTAGTGTTATTGTTACTTGAATTTTTATGTGAATTCCGTGTGTTTGTTTATTTGGTATTTTTCTTGGAATTAAATTCATGATGAAATCCTTATCTACAAATAATTATTAAATAAGTTTAAAATGAGGTATTAATTTATATTTATTAAAATTTTAGATTAAAGAAGGCGTTGTCCTATGTTGAGTTACTTTTCCGTCTCTGTTGTTGTTTTGAGGTTTTATATACGTTGTGTGGAGCCTTGGACTATTTGCTGAGAAATTTATTGATTTTGCTATATCTTTGGAATTGGTTGTGGTCATTGGGCAAATTGTGATATGAATTATTGTATTGTGTTGTCGTTTAAATACTCTCCTTGATGTTACTTATGCTTTCTACCTTGCTTGTTAATGATATACATGTGCTTGGTAAGGAAGAGTGTAAAGCACGAAGGGTGATGTCGTGCCATTTTGAGAGTGTAAAGCACGAAGGGTGATGTCATACCATTTGAGAGTGTAAAGCACGAAGGGTGATGCCATGCCATTTGAGAGTGTAAAGCACGAAGGGTGATGCCGTGCTATTTCAATTATATTATCACGTGAGGATGAGAGTAAAAGCACGAAGGGTGATGCCGTGCCATTATTTTTATATTATTATATGTCATGGCACAAAGGGTGTTTTCATGCAGGCGAGGACAAGAGACATACATTATATTGTGATATCGTTTCGTTGTGTATACATTCATGCCTTTATCTTGAGATGTTATTGTGCACCTATGTTTTCTATATGACTTGTAGTCGTTGTTGCTTCCTGTGTGCCTCCCACTTTATTTCTTTTATTGTTATTGGTATTTCTCCCACCTAGTTAGTAATGTTATATGTATGCTCGGTGAGAAAGAGATAAATGCACGAAGGGTGTTGCCGTGCCAATTGATTTGATCTACATATATACATTGGGTGAGAATGAGACGAGTGCACGAAGATATTTCTGTGCCATTTGATGTGATATGCTGAATATATTTCTCACGCCAGGAAAGTTAAATGAGGTGTCACATGGTGACTTTTACTTGAAAGAATTATATTGGAAAGATATTTACTTGAAATAATTATATTCGAAAGATATTTATTTGAAAGAATTATATTAATAAGATATCTATTTGAAGGAAGTATATTCGGGATATATTTAATTGTACGGATTACATTCTAAAGATTTTTATTTGAAAAACTTATAGATAAAAGATGTATATTCTGAAGGACTTGATTAATTAGTTGTACTTGTATTTATTATTCATTTGAGCAATATTTATGGTGTTCTTGCTGCCTTGCTGTTTAAATCACTTGTTGATTGGTGTTGCCATCACTGTTATTTGTCTTTTATTATTTTTGTAAGCTATATTGTACATGTTATTTGACTAGTGAGTGTCTTGAATGTACCTCGTCACTACTCCACCGAGATTAGTCTTGATACTTACTGGGTACCGACCGTGGTGTACTCATACTATACTTTTGCACATTTTTGTGCAGAGCCAGGTATTGGAGATATCGGATTTGGAAAGAGGTTAGAGTGTGATCGCAAAAATTTAAGGTAGAGCTGCTTGGCCGTCGTAGTCCCTTGTAGTCTTTTCATTTTTATTGTACTGTCAACTCTTATTCGAATAGTATTGTATATTCGATCCTTGAGATAATTCCATGTATTTAGTTAGAGCTTGTGACTCAGTATTACCAGTCTTGGGAGGTGGTTATATTTGTTTTCCGCTTTTGGTTTCAATTATCTATTTTTAAAAAAAATGGCTCGTAATGTAATTGTAATCGGCTTACTTAGAGACTAAGTACCATCACGACGCATGTGGTGGGATTTTGGGTCGTGACACAATAAGTCAAACGGTCCTGAGAACCGAAAATATTGTTTCAAGAAGAGAGTTTAGATCAAACTACAACCAAGCGGGTGGAACAAGCAATGGATTTGGAAATGAGAACAATGTAGATGATCTTTTCAAAGCGGAACTCATGAGGTGTATGAGAGAAATAAATTCTCGAATGAATCAAAATACTAAAGAATTCCATGACCGGATTTGGAAATGAGAACAATATAGATGATTTTTCCAAAGCGGATCAAAAAAAGTATTTTTAGTTGCCATTCAAACCGAGTGCAGCTCCAGAATTGATTGCAAAAAGATTCAAGATGCCGGATATTCCAAAATAAGATGAAATATCAGATCCATACGAACACACTATAACATACACTATAGTTGTGAAGGAAAATGATTTGGCTTCATATGAGATCACTTTTGTTAAAGAAATTTGGTGAAACCCTAACAAAAGGGACTTAAACGTGATATTCACTTTACCTGAACAATCAATTGATTCTTTTGAAGTGCTTATAGATTCATTCATCAAAGCTCACGATGGAACTAGAAAAGTTGAAGCTAGAAAAGCAGATATTTTCATAATAGATCAAGAAGACTCAGAGTTGTTGCGAGAATTCGTGACCCGATTCCAAAAAGAGAGAATGTTGTTGCCGGCGTTACCGGATGAATGAAAAACAGAAGCATTTACCAAGGGTCTTAATCCCTCAAGCTCTGATTCCTCAAGGAAGTTGAAGGAGATTTTGTTAGAATTTCAAGCAACTACGTGGGTAGATATTCATAACAGGTACAAGTCAAAGATTCGTGTAGAAGATGATCAGGTAATTATATCGACATCTTCTATAGCTCGGAATAATTGTCAATCGAACTTTGATAAGAGGCATTCCAAATATCGGTTTGAACCATATCGATTTGGATCACGGATTGACATAAGGCAAGAACGTTCTCGTAGTAAGTCGACAGAAAATAACTTCGATGAAAGACAATAATATCTACGAATGCTAGGTACTTTTGCATCAGAGCAGCAGAAACATCAACAATAAGTATCGGAAACATCTGAAAATGGCTCTGGAACAGTCCGTATAGGATACCAGAGATAGCCCGAACTAGCTCCGAAATAAAGAAAAGAACTGGGGAGTGACAGATAAAGGACTAGGGGATATCACACCTCCTTTTTTCCGAAGGGATAGGGAGTTTTTTTAATTAAAGTAAAATTAATCGAAATGGGGTTATTTATTTAATTCAGAGTCGCCACTTGGAATAATATATGGTGTCCTAAGTCACCGATTTATTTTAAATCCCAAGTCGAGAAAATTTGACTCTGTTTAAAGTCTGCGAAAGTCAGAAAATCGGGTAAGGAATTCTGTTAACCCGGGAGAAGGTGTGAGGCACTCCCGAATTCCGTTGTTTTAGCACGGTCGCTCAACTATTAATAATTGGCCTTATTATCTGATTTAATACGTATTAAAGACCTATTGTGCATTTTTAACTTTCTAACCGCTTCTAATAAAGTGTTAATTGCTTTTACGATTTATGGAATTTATTAAATAAGTCGCGATGTCGCACACTTATCGTTTTTGTACATATTGTGAATCGTGTCACGTGAAACGCACCCACGATTTACAACATGTTTATTTATTTATTTGAAGTTGTGGTCAAGTCGCGTGAAACGCGCACTTGAGTTGGGATTTACGTATCATGACTATGCCACGGGAACCGTACCCATAGTCACGATGATTTATTATTGATCGCGCCTAAAAAAGCAAGCTACGATGTTCATGAGTCGTTTTCCTAAAACTAGTTTGAGATTATTGTAAGGCCATGATTTATGGATATGGAACTGATGTGAAAGTGAAGAAATATTTTAGCCAAACGGTTCTAACATAAAACTTATGAATTACTACCAAATTTAAAGCATAATGAGTAAACAAAGCTAGGTTCTTTCAGTGGCTGAAGACAACACTTCTTATTCCCTATTTTCAACGTCCTGCATCAACAATTTACCTTCTCCATGAGAATCAACTTTAAAAGCTAGGTTCTTTCACATTATTTGCACAAAAACCAATCAATGTTGTCTCAATTTCTCAAAAATCATTCTAATTAGCTATATCAATCCTCTGTACAGTATTTTAATTGCAGCTGTCACACCTCTTTTTTCCGAAGGGATAGGAGAGTTTTTCCAATTTAAGTGATATTATTCGAAATTGGATTATTTATTTAATTTGGAGTCGCCACTTGGAATAATTTTTGGTGTCCCAAGTCACCGGTTCATTTTAAATCCCAAATCGAGGAAATTTGACTTTGTTTTAAAGTCTGCGAAACCAGAAGACCGGGTAAGAAATTCTGTTAATCAGGGAGAAGGTGTGAGGCACTCCCGATATTTAAATCCTATTGTGCTTTTTAGCTTTCTGACCGCTTTTAATAGAATTTTAATTACTTTTGGAATTTATGGAATTTTGTTTGAATAAGCCGCGATGTCGCGCACTCATTTGTTTTGTACATATTGCGAATTGCGTCACGTGAGCCGTACCCACGATGTATAACATGTTTATTTTTATTATTGTTTGAAGTTAGGGTCGGGTCACATGAAATGTGCACTCGAATTGGGGATTACGTATCATGACTATGCCACGGGAACCATATCTATAGTCACGATGATTTATTTAAACGCGCCTAAAGCAAACGGCTAAGCATTTACTTGTTCACATCAATTGGAAAGAAGCAGATTAATTAAGCTGCTATTATTATAAGAAGAGAAATACACAAAATGAAACAGAACAAACGAAAATTGGGTTCAACATCCCAAGTTAAAGCACCTGAGATGTCCAGACTTGTCCATACTGGGCTGCCTGTACAAGTCTGGCCCAAAAGCTCGCCATTTATGCAAAGGACAACACAAATCCTAAAATAACGCTCTTCATGCACCGAAAGAAATTGGATTCAGCACACGGATAGTTCGTTCATTTACATGCTTCAAACCTATCTAAGAGAGGTTAATAGTAAGAGTTACATCATAGCTTGAACAACTAATCTAAAATGACTAACTCAGAGTTACGAACAGAAGAATCTCAAAGTTGGAATTTCACAATTTTGAACCCCAATCATCACATCTTCAACTGACTCCATAAGCTCTCACATCCTTTGCATAACTTACCAGTCCCAAACGATAATCAAAATAAGATTTCCAACAGGGCTGGATTCAAATGCATTTCAAATATCAACCAAACAAACAAACAAATGCAGAAACATATTGAAAACAATCAGGATTACTAACTTCATAATGCAGAGACAACAAACACATCACAACTGGACCACTCAGTGTGGATAAATCTCATATCAAATAACATGGATTCACAAACTAACATGTAACTCAGATTTTCGATTAACATCTTAACAGCAAAATACAAAGGTATAGTCACATACCTAGTAACTTGAAATCAAACATTAGATCCACGACCAAATAAAGGTCAAAGAAAAACCAGATATGAAGATCAACTACCAATCAGCCAGTATTCAACAGCAGCAAACCAGAGAAAACAACCTTAAATCTCTTCCAAACGAGCAGAATGACAGCAAAAGATTTTAGATATCTCATACTCTTTTGAAGCAAACCAGAATTTATATAGCCAATTTAACAGAGAAAAAGACTCGTTGGAATTTTTCAGTATTCTCCAGAAGAAAGCAGTCTCAGAAAAAATGAAAAGAGGATCCAATTTTCAGAGAATTCCTTCTAAAATCTGTGTCTATTCTTGATTGTATTTGGAGAGGAATGAAGCTGAGTATTCCTCATCTGTGAAAAATAAGAGGTCTATATATAGGGAATAAAATCTGACATGTGCTCCTAAGGATGAGGAATAATTCTCAGCAGGCCACTCCTAAATTTCAGGAAAAAAGCATCTTTTAAAACTGAAAATGGAGAGCTGTTGGGACAGTTGTCTTATCCAGATATTCTCTATATGTTTTTGCCTGCACTTTAGTCCCTTCTAGAGACTTCCCCAAACAACCAAACCAGATTTCCTAATTTTCCAGATCCCTTTGACTCCTTTAGTTTTTGTTAATTACAAACAGCTACCCCAGAAGAGCAAACAAGTTCAACAATAGACTCAACTACCCATTTCCAATTCCAAACGTCCCTTTTAAACTTATGGATAATGATAAACAACCCATTGCTAAAACAAAAGCAATAATGTAAAACCAAACCAATTAGCTATTAACTTGTTTTAACATCTAATTACTTAAAATTGATTAAACCAACAACTTATGCAATTAAAACTAATTAACATGTAATTAACTAGATAATCCTATCAATCAAACAAAACAATCAAAAATTAAACCTAACTGATAATTAGAAAAAAGAAGCAAAGGAACAAGAGAGAAGGGGTTTACTGATTTTGGGCCAAAAGCTGAGTCGATGATTGAGGCGAATCAACGAACGATGGCGATGAAACTTGACCGGTCAGTGGTGGGTTGGCCAGAATCCGATGAGCTTCGAAATGAACCAAACTAACATGAATCGATTGCTCGTGTCAAGAGCAATTGACTCATGTAAGTTTGAACCAAAACATACTTGAAATTTCCGGGGAAAAAACCATATTTAGGTTTTCTGATTTTCTTAGATCCGAAATTGGAGAAGATGGGTGGGGATTTTGGGGAAATTGGTGGTAGGATGATGATTAGGGGGTGTTAGAGATTATTTGGTGTCAATTTTGGGGTGGTTTGGGGTGTCGCCGCCGCTGTAGGCGATTTCCTGNGGGTCTAGTTTCGGATAATTATAAAGGGGAATGGTGGTGAGTTGAGGGCCGTTGGATTGGGGAAATGAACAGCCAAGATTGCCGTTACTAAAACGGCGTCGTTTAGTTTAAATGAGGTTGGACCGGATATGAAATTGGCGGGATTGGGCTGGGTAAAAAGGGAATTGAGCTTAATAGAACGACCCAGTTTGCTTTTGCAACAAAATTGGCCCTTTCTCTTCTTGCTCTTTCTTTCTTTATTTTTCTTTCATTTTAAAATTCTACAAATTTAAAAAATATAAATCCTAATTAGATTCTATCTTAATTCTAATTTGCAAAATTAACCTACTCACTATTTCTAATATTTAGATCATTAATTAACCTAAAACTAATGAAGCAAAAATTAATAATGTGGAACTAAGAGATAAAAATATAAGAGCCTATGGTATTTTGTGATTTTTGTTTAATAATGCAATCAATTAACAACTTAATCCTAAAAATGCAAACAAAAACCTAAAATGCAATGCATGAAATTTTTGAACATTTTTATGGTATTTTTCATGATTTTAAAATATTAAATATGCAACTAAATGCAAACAACAATTAACATGAAATTCCTAAAAATTATATCAAAAATTAAACTAATTAGAAAAAAACTATTTTTTTTTTTGCGAATTTTGTAGGAGTATTTTAGTCGGGTAAAAATCACGTGCTCACAGCAGCAGACAGTAAATTTTGGTAGTAATTTACTTACGAGGCAATAGTAAGACGAGCAAAAAATCAAACGGTCACCGTCATTGATGTCAAGCAATACATTATAACCTTCCCAGGTTAATCTACTGTTCTGATTTTGATTTTGATTTGAATCTTCTTTAACTTTTATATATTAAACCTTCTCGAATACAAAGATGAAAATTCGACAAGAAAACTCGACCAAGCTAAACCGGGAACAAAGGACTCGTCGGCAATCTCACAAACAGACCTCAACTGCCCAGAAGACTTCGAACCTCAAGTGACTCGAACAGTGACTTTTCAAGCGATGAGCTCGAACTCATCGGCAGTCTCTGTTTTGACATTAAAAGAGAAGCTTTTTCGCGGTCAAGCTGGCAGCCTTTTGCAACTATTTCGGGACTAATTTTAGCTAAAGTTTATGGGGTTGAAAGGCTATGGAGAAAACTGGTTTTTTTGGGTGAAAAGACAGTGTGTTTCAGTTGCGTTTTTCCAGTGATTTTGGAGCTATTTTGGACTGATTTCAAGGTGTTTTGTTGCTGGTTTTTGAAGCATTATTGGGGTGTGTTTAATGGGGATTTTGAGGAAGAAGATGAATGAAGAAGAAGAAGAAGAAGAAGAAGAAGAAGAAGAAGAAGAAGAAGAAGAAGAAGAAGAAGAAGAAGAAGAAGAAGAAGAAGAAGAAGAAGAAGGCAGTTGCCTTTACCTATTTTCGGACCTTATTTTTTCAAAGCTAATGCTCTGTTTTTTCGTCCCTCTTGATGAGGCGGTGTCTGTGTATGTATGGTGGAGTTGAAGGGTATAATTTAGGAATTATAAAAGGGTTATGAGTTAGGGAGGAGTGGGCTCAGGTCCAAATTTTGGGCCAACGTTTGTCCAAAAGCAAGATAGAATAATGAGCCTAAACCAATAAAATACTACCGAAATGTTAATTAGTCCTATTTACGTAGAGTAAACTATTAAAATAAAACTAAATACTAAAACAAAATTATTTTTGGTATTTTTCAAATATCATACTAAAATAAAAATAGAAGTAGGTTAAAATCATAACGAAATTAAAATAATATCACTTCCAAAAAGAAAACTAAGGATATTAAATAAATATATGTATAAAATGAGAAATATTACAAGGATGAAATTTTTTTTTGTAGTTTTCAATTTTTATACTTTAAAAACTAGATTAAAATTAATAATAGAGTGAAATTCTATAGAAACAAACTCAAATAAATATTCTAGAAATACTAAGACTACTAAAGATAATTCTAATGTGCGGGTCAAAAATTATGTGCTTACAGCTGCCCCTCTTTGCTTGGAAACACGAAGTATTTTTGAGCAAATAACAAGTAAGTGACGTAATCGATATTTGATCCCACACTTATTCAAAACAAAATAAAGATGGACAAAAGATTGTGACCGGGACCTGGTATCTGAGCTGCCTACATATCCTTGACTATAAAGGAATCAGGCCACGTGTAGTTCAAAAGTGAGTGAAGTCATGGAATGTGTGGAGAGGATGAGAGAGTCGAGTGAGGTACCGTTCGAGATTTCGGTTCGTGGTCCCTGTCATTACATCATGAATTGAAAACAAAAATTTACAGCAAAAATAAAAAAAAAATACAAGATCCTATCTACTTCTTGTCTTGAATCTTCCTTGAATCTCCACTTGATCCTTCAACATGAAACTGAAAATTCACCTTATTCTTGAGGTGGGCATCCTGCTGACTTGAACTTGAAGAAAACTAAAAGTTGACCATGTTCTTCAGGCGGGCTCCTGCTGCTTCGACTTGAAATAAACTTGAACTTGGATTAGACTTGAGCTTGCAAACCTTGTTCTTCAGGCGGCTCGTGCTACTTCTGATTTGAATTGAAAAAAACTTAAGGTTAACCCTGTTCTTCAAGCGGGATCCTGTTGTCTCTGCTTGAACTTAAAAAAGAAAGTTGACCATGTTCTTCAGGCGGGCTCCTTGTACTTCTGAATTGAACTTCATTTTCAGGTGAGCTCGTGCTTCTTAAACTCGAAAATTGAAAGTTGACCCTGTTCTTCAAGCGGGATCCTCCTGCTTGATCTTGGAAAAAACTGAAAGTTGGCCATGTTCTTCAGGCGGGATCCTGGTGCTTCTCTGATTTGAACTTAAAATCGATTTCTGAAATATTAACCCTCGTTCTCCAGATGGGTGCCTGCAATCAAAACAAACAAAACGAACAAAATTTTCTGCCCCAGTTTGCACTAGGAAGATTTGTGAGTTGTTAGCAAAACTGTAAATCACTTATGTTATTAATGAAATATGAGAGTAAAACTAAAGAATCGACTAGGATGTGTCTCCTGTGAGATTGGGCTTCAGGAAAACTATAAACTAAGCTTGACTAAACTTGAAAATTGACCTTATTCTCCAGGCGGGACCTCTGAACTCAAGGAAAACTGAAGATTAACAACTTAAGAAAACTAAAAGCAGACCCTATTCTCCAGGTGGGACCCCTGAACTTAAGAAAAACTAAAGATTAGAAACTTAAGAAAACTAAAATTGACCTATTCTACAGGTGGGACCCCTGAACTCAAGTAAAACTAAAAGATGACCCTACTCTCCAGGCGGGACCTCTGAACTTAAGGAAAACTAAAGATTAACTACTTAAGGAAATTAAAATTGGCCCTATTCTCCAGGTGGGACCCCTGAACTTAAGGAATGCTAAAGATTAACTACTTAACAAAACTGAAATTGACCTTATTCTACAGGCGAGACCCCCGAACTCAAGTAAAACTGAAGACTAGCAACTAAAAACTGACCCTATTCTCTAGGCGTAACCCCTGAACTAAAGGAAAACTGAAGACTAATAACTAAAAACTGACCTTATTCTCTAGGCGAGACCCATAAACTAAAGGAAAACTGAAGACTAACAACTAAAAACCGACCCTATTCTCCAGGCGGGACCCATGAATTAAAGAAAAACTAACGATTAACAACTTAAGAAAACTAAAATTAACTATATTCTACAGGCGGGACCCCAGAACCAAAGGAAAACTAAGATTAGCAACTTAAGAAAACTGAAATTGACCCTATTCTATAGGTGGGACTCCTGAACTAAAGGAATGAAAAGGATTAAAAACATAAGAAACTTGAAAAATGACCATATTCTCCAGGCAGGACCCCTGAACTTAAGTTTAACTAAGGATTAACAACTTAAGGAAATTAAAACTGAGCACTTAGGAGAAACTAAGAAGTGACCCTATTTTCTAAGCGGGATCCTGAACTTAAAGAAAGCTAAAGACTCTTCCGACTAGGGAGATTTCCTAGGAGGTACGGTTCTTCTCAAACAGGAAAAATTCTTGAGAGCTAATGATCTTCTCAACTAGGGTAATGTCTAGGAGGTAAAAACCTTCTCAAACAACCTTTGTGCTGACAAAATTTGGGCATGACGCCTAAAAAATTCAAGCTTCCAAGCTTTGGTTTGGACATAGTCTTCGTCCCTGTTTCAAACAAAGAAAACTTGTGAGTTTAAAACATGGTGGTTGGTTTGTGGTCTTGACCTTGAGGGCGATTGATCCTACACTTGCCATGATAACTTTGATTTCCACTTGGAAGACCTTGCTTGTTATTGTTTAACCACTTTTTTCTGTCAACCCTTATCACAGAAAACACCTCTGATCCGTTCAAGCCCAATACCTTATACCCAAAGCATTGTGCTCATGAATGACATTTACCGAACCTTTGCATTTCACATGAATCCCAAAGCACGTCAATTATTATCAACTCAATGCGCATACCACTTTTCCTTGACTTATACCACTTTGATGTGCTAGCAGACTCCGCTTTGTGCAATTGAAAAGCTGGTAGCAAAATTTGGAGTCATTTCTCACTTGTTTTGACAAAACATACTCAAAAAGAGGACTTAAACAAAACAAGAGGAACATAGTAAGGGGA